TAATTGTAGTATTAGAGCATACAAAAGAAAAAAGACCAGACAAGTTGAGTATATGGAACAAACTAGGCATCCCAAGCTATTCTGAGAATGGTCAACCACCAAGAAAGAACGACCTAAACAGTTCAAAGCACTTGACAAACAGTAGTCCTAGAGCTCGTATTTAGGAGTACTTGAGTTTCAAAACCATGATGAACATTTTTGTTTTTGGATTTTTTGGGGGGGAATAAGGTGGAGGACAGTCAATGCAAAAGCACAAAGATGAGAAATGGAGAATTGTATATCAAGAACAAGTAGGTCAGTATAGTTGGATCACAGAATATGTGGAAGAGAAACATAGGAGGGGGCCAGATTTTGAAGAGCTTTAATTACCCCCACAAATGGGGCACTTTATCTTGGAGATAACAGAGGGCCACCAGAGTTCAGTGAGTACATAGTCAGACCTCTGCTTTAGGAAGATCACTTTGGCAGCTATGTAGAGGATGGAGTGGAGTGGGGAAAGATTTGAGGCAGGGAGAACGATAATAATGATACTGAATAGTGTAGAGTAGAGGTAATAAGGGCTTGAACTAAGATGGAGGCCATGTGAGTTGAAAGGAGTCAAATAGAAGAAATGTTGTCAGTGTCAAAACAACAAGATCTGGCAACTGACTGGATATATGGGAAGAGTAAAGAATTGAAAATGACACCAAGGTTATGAACTTGGATAACCAGCAGGTTGGTGGTGCCCTCAAAAGTAATAGGAAAGTTCAGAAGAGGAGAAGGCTTGGGTGTAAAGAAAATAGGTTCTGTTATGGATATGATGAGTTTGAGATGTCTGTGAGGTTGTCTAGCTTAAAATGTCTAACCTGCAGTACTGGAGTTTATGAGACCAGGGATATGTAGATTTGGGAAACACCTGCAGAGATAAAGTATACAACAAAAATATGTATAGTAGCACTTTCAGTTATAGCAAAGAACTGGAAATAAATGGGTGCCCATCAATTAGGGAATGCCTTAATAAATTGCCACATGAATACAGACAGAGACTAGATTTGTCATTTCACTGATATAGGAAAAACCTTCTACCAAAGCAGGTCAACACACTCTTAGCAATTGATAACCAGCATGCATCAGAGGAGTCACTGAAACCTAGCTTTTCTGCGCTTATCCACTACACCATAGTGCCTCTCCTATGAATGTAATGGAATATTATAGATCTGTAAGAAATAGTGAATATAACAGATTGAGAGCAACATGGGAAGGCTTGTATGAACTAAGGCAGAGTGGAATGAAAAAAATCAAAATCAAAAGAATAATTTACATGATGACTAGAATAATGTAAAGTAAAAACAAATGTAAAAGACTTCAAGAGCTCTTAACAATGCAATTAATTACCAATTAAGACTTAAAAAGGGGCAGTTAGGTGGTGTACTGGATAAAGCACCAGCCCTGAAGTCAGAAGGACCTAAGTTCAAATCCAGCCTCAGACACTTAATACTTCCTAGCTGTGTGACCCTGGGCAAGTCATTTAACCCTGACTGCCACACCAAAAAAAAAGGCAAAAAACAAAAAAAACCAGAATAGAATAGAAGGAAGTATAGAAAGGAAAAGAGAAGCAGGGGAGTTTTGTTACTGTCATGATAAATTTAATATCCCCTTTAAAAATAAACAATATAAAATATTATAGAACTTCAGCGTCATATGCAGGTCTTTGTTTATTATAATGTCCATATTCACTGATGTTAAAGTTCATAAAAAAAAATTTAAAGTAAGCGGCAGTCAGATTGTTAAAGATTCTAAATGCCAAATAAAATAATATTTATTTTATCCTAGAGGTATAATGAGCCACTGGAGTTTTTGAAACAGAGAATGACATGAAAAGACTTCTAGTTTAGGAATATCATTTCAGCAACTGTGTGAAAGATAGACTGGAATAAGGAGAATAGTGAGGCAGAAAGCTCGATTAGGAGGCTACTGCAATAAGGTAGAAGTGATACAGACCTGAATCAGGTTGGTGTGATAGGTGCAAGAAATACTGAGGTAAAATTGTGAAGATCTTGTGATTTATTGGATATAAAGAGTTACAGAATCTAGTAAAGAGTCAAGGAAGACTCTTAGCAAACCTGGAAACAAGTGGATGCCAACAACTGGGGAATGCCATTTGAATATAGAGAATTAGAGACTGGACTTCTGATTTCACTGATAAAGGACCTTTTTCTTTTCCTTATTTAAAAAATAATATATTTTTCCCAATTACACATACACATAATTTTAACATTCTTTTTTTTTAAGTTTTGAGTTCCAAATTTTCTCCCTTCATTCCTCAACTCCCCCCTCCCTGACACAGTAAGTAATTTGACAAAGATTATGCATGTGCACTCATGCAAAACATATTTCCATATTAGTCATGTTGTGAAAGAAGACACAGAACAACAGGAAAAAAAATAAAGTGAAAAATAGTAATGCTTCCATATGCATTCAGACTCTATCAGTTCTTTCTCTGGATGGGGATAACATTTTTCATCATGAGTCCTTTGGAATTGTCTTGGATCATTGTATTACTGAGAACAGCTAAATCATTCAGAGTTGATCATCACATAATATTGTGTTTACTATGCACAATGTTCTCTTTGTTGTATTCACTTCACTTTGCATCAGTTTGTGTAATTCTTTCCAGTATTTTTCTGAAATCTCCTGCTCATCGTTTCTTACAGCACAATAGTATTTCATCACAATCACATACCACAACTTGTTCAGCCATTCTCCAATTGATGGGTATCTAAAGATAATTTTTTCTACCAAAGTGGGTCATGGAAGAAAAATGGTAGCTTCATCAAAAATGGAGAAGCTAGGAAGAAGGATAGAATTTTGAGGAAAGGATATTTTAACTTTGAAAATACAGAGTTTGAAATGCTTAAGGGATATCTGGTTCTAAATGTTCAATAGGCAGTTAAGGCTGTAGGACTGAAGTTCAGGAGAGAGACTAGGGAGTTACCTGCATAGAAATTATAATTGAACCTATGGGAGCTGATGAGATCAGTAAGAGTGTACAAAAAAAGAAACGAAGAATTCGTAGGATTTTACCAACAGCCAGGGGTAAGGACATGGATAATGATAAAATAAACAACAATGAGAAAGAGCAGAAAGAACAGATGAGAGAACCAGGAAAATGTGTTGTATTAGGGATATCATCTCAGGGAAAGGACAATATCTAGGAGAAAGGGAGGGACAAGAGTGTCACAATGGATAGAGAGGTCAAGAAGGATAAGAATTAAGAAAAGATCATCAGATTTAGAAATTAAGAAAGAGAAGAAAATAGAGTTTTGGTTGAGTTATGAAGTAAAAATCCAGACTGCAGGGGGTTGAAAAGCAATGAGGAAGTGAGGAATATTGAGGTAAAAAGTGTGGATAGCTTTTTTAAAAAATAGGAATTGAATGTCTTAGGGAGGGTATAGATAAGGTAGGAAGGGAGAAAATTTGGAACTCGAATTTAAAAAAAAAAAAATGTTAAAAGTTGTCATTACATGTAATTGGTGAAAAATAAAATATCATTAAGAGGAAAAAAAAAAAACAAAGAAAAACCTGAGAAGAATAATATGAACTGATGTAAAGTGAAATTACCAGAATCAGGAGAACACTGTATACAGTAACAGCAATATCATAAGGATGACCAATTGTGAAAGACTTAGCTACTTTGATCAAAACAATGATCCAAGACAATTCCAAAGGATTCATGATATCCACCTCCAGAGAAAGAACTGGAAACCTTTGAGTGCAGATTGAAGTATACTTTTTTCCCTTTTTTTACGCTTTTTTTCTTTTTCTTTTCTTTTTTTTGTAACATGGCTAATTTAATGGAAATGTTTTGCATGATTTCACATATATAACTGAGATATTGCCTTCTCAATGGGTGGGGGAGGAGTGGGAAAGAGAGAATTTGGAACTCAAATTTTTTACAGAAGAATGTTTAAAATAAATAAATAGATTGAATTTAAAAAAATAGGAATTGACTCTGGAAGGCATAAAAGAGTCAACTTTTTTTGCTTTTAATAATGGGGGAAATATTTGGGCATATTTGAAGACAGTAGGGAATGAGTCACTAGATAAAGAGAAAATAAAAATTAGGAGAAGGAATAATTGCCGGGGGGGGGGGAGGAAGTGGAGGAAACCCCTAGAGATAGGAGGGGCTATGATCAAAGACACAAGTAGAGAAAGGCTACCTCATACTACAAGTCTAGAACAAAGGAGGAAAAGGTGGAATATGAAGCTAAGATGATTTGTAATGTGGAATTGTGGCTAAGAGGAAGCATTCAATAGATGGTTTCAAATTTTTCAGCAAAGTATAAGCCTCTGCTAAGAGGAATGGGAACATTGTAAGGGATATAGCTTGAGAAATTAAGAATAGTTTTTGAATAACTGCTTTAGGGAGCTGTTTAGGAAAAAAAAATAATAAAAGGGCCAGCATAAAACTGAGGAAGGAATTGGAAGGCACTGGACAGCAAAAACCATCCTCCAAAAGGAAACTGATCACGTTTAAAAAAACAGGAAGTAAACCACTATTGATGGAATCATTCTAGAATCAGCTATCTGTGCACTGTAAACCTAAGATCAAAAAGATATAAAGGTATAAAATGAGGAAGAACATATGGTACATAATAAAAACAAATAAAAAATGGGAAATGGATAGAAGGAAAGGATATTTACACCAATTAAAACAACTTACTAGAGAAGTTTAGTCAAGTATAATGTTACAACGAGGAAACAAAAATCTACCATTATTGCCTTAAGAGAACTCAGGCTCACCTATACAAAACAATGAGATATCCTGAAGGCCCTACTAACAAATGAAACTTGGTACCAGGTTCTCTGTTGATATGAGATGATTTAAATTACAGAGCTATAATTTTTTCATTAAAAAGGAGAATGTAATTGACCTAAAAAACAAAACTTATGAGTTTGAATACATTTTTCTGTTATCCATAATGATAAATAAGCAAAATTTTAGAATAATAAAGACTAACCTTTTCTGCTCTTTTGAAGATAACATTGGCATGAGCAGGAATGTTCAAATCTGAGGAGTCCCTGTTTCAAAATAGAAATCAACCTGTAAGTTACTTCACGTAAAGAGCAGCTATCCCTAGATATAATACACAGTAAGTCTAATTAATGCCTTTGTAAGCAATACTTAATTATTATGAGAAAAATTACTAACAAGTAACACAAATGTCCTCATAAAACTCTTTTTGAAGTCCTTTGTAGCAGGTGGAATGTGCGTATTTTTTAAATTAGGTTTTTACCTAATTAGTAGGGAGAGTTTATAGAACTGTTGGCTTATTTCTATTTGTTATGGTTTTGAATTAATACATAAGTAATGATGGTTACCATTTTAAAAAATGTTTCAAAGTTGTACATGAAAACATTCTGATATAAACTAATCAAATTTTACAATACTTTAACAATAATGTGATTCCTGCTTTTCCCCGAAGGTGCCAAGCGACTCTTTCTGCAGTGTTCTTATCAGCTTCATAGGTGGTTTGTTGACTAAGAATAAAAATCAGTGGTAAACCAAGTTGGAGATGAATAGTTGAAACTTTTTCAGGATCGTCAGTAATTTCGGTCTTTACAAGAAAAAAGAAAGAATAAATTATAGTTATTGTACACTGCTATTCTGTAATTTTTTTTACATTTAAATTTAAAATAAATGAACACAATAAATAAAATAAATTTGCTATTCTTACATAATTTTAAGCATTAATAAAATTGTTAACCACTATGAAAGATAAGAATCTGTGAACCAAATATACCATTGAGAGAAATTTTTCTATCACAATCTTAGCCTGATGTTCCTAATGTGAAACTTAAAACTGTGATAGACTATGACATATACAAACTTAAAATAATAAACATATGGATTTTCTTTAAAACATACGTACAAAGATGTTGCTATAAGCATTAAGTAGATATTTACATATTTTTTCAAACACAGCTTAGGTTTTGGAGAATAGCTATTCAATTCAAAATGTTTCCCCCAAAAAGTTATTAATCAAGGGGCAGCTAGGTGGCTCCCTAGAGCACCCGCCCTAGAGTCAGGAGCACATGAGTTCAAATCTGGCCTTAGACACATAACACTTACAAGCTGTGTGACTCTGGACAAGTCACTTAACCCAACTGCCCCACCAAAAAAAAAAGTTATTAGTGAAAAAGAAATATATTAATGAAAATTCTGAACAAGTAAAAATGGTGAATGGAATAGTAAGTCAATGAGGAAAGTATAAAAAAATTGCCTTGCTGAAATGAGGGCACAGGTGAGGTTATTTAGAGTAAGTTTGTAGTGGATGCAGTTAGCATGGATTCGTGATTTCCTACAGCTATGTTCAACAGTACATGAATAGGAACAAAAGTGGGAGCAATCCAGTACCGAGGCCTGGAAGAGCAAGATCAGTGACAGAATAATGGGCAAGGGATTCAAGAGCAGAGGACAGTGTGTAGTTAAACTGATTCACTAAAGGGTCAAGATGAGGAAAGGAAAAAAGTATGGCCAAGGTAGGGGTAACGGTCTGAGAGAGGAACCGAGAGGCCAAGGGATTAGAGGTCGTGGTGAAGACAAAATAAATCATTTAGGGGTGAAGAGGGGAGGCAGACTGACAACAGAGTATGATCCAACAAGGGAATTTCAGAATCTATAAACAAGAAGGTGGAACATTTGCAAGTGATCATAAGAGCAAGAAGTATATCTATCTCTGTGTATAGCTAAAGTGCAGTGGAGAAATTGGACTTTTTCATGGGAAAAGAGCAATTTAAGGATCTGGAACATAAGAAGGTTTAAGGGAGTATCAATATGTATACTGAAGTCTCCTACTGCAGAGGCGAGGGGTGGGAAAAAAGAAAGACTCAGCTAGTAACTAAACGCATGATAGATAAAAAAAAAAAAAAAGAGTGGCCTGGAGGTCGGCAGACAATGGTTACCAAAATTTTGGTTACCAGAAAAATGGGTGGTAAATGTGGATTGAGTGAACTTTAAGGGAAGAGAGGCTATTAAATGATAAAAGGAGAGAGAGAGGGTCTGTAGAGGCAATGTAGAGCAATGTAGAACGCCACCACCACCTTGACCAGTGAGTCAGGAAAAGTGAGTAAAACACTAGACTGTCATGTACTTAAAGGCATTATAGTGATAGCAATGATCAATCAACAAAGATATTTTCACAGCTTTAATAATAATTGCCAGGAACTGTGATAAGTGCTGGCAAAACAAAGATTAAAAAAAATACAATACAAAGATTAAAAAAACAAAAACTTCCTACTCTGAGAGTTTATATTATAACCGCGGAGATATGTGTACGTGTGTGTGTACATACACACATATATGTATATATATACACACACACACACACACGACTATGTGAATTTATATAGCAAACATAAAAAGTATAAACACAAGGTACTTAGGAGGGAGAGAACCATCATTTTGGAGAATCAGAAAGGGTTTCATGCAGTAGGCATTTCATAGAACATTCTCTTCAAACTACCTTATATTTAATAACTATTTAATGTATATGTGTATATATGTGCATACACATATAGAGAGAATATATATATAATTTTTATTTATCAATTTTATATTTATGCTGTGTTTTATATGTATTTGTCTTTCCCATTGAAATGTAAACTCTTTGTGCATAGGAATAGTTCTAGTCTTTGTACTTATATCCCCAGTGCTCAGTACAATAGCAAACAAATCTTAGGCACTTAATAAACACTTGACTTGTTGATTGGTTGACTGACAGAAGGTGGTGCTTAACCTGCATCCTAAAGGGAGGGAGGGAAAGATTCCATGAGGTAGAGGCAAGGAGAGAAATAAATTCTACGCCCAGGTGATAGTGTAAAGCCACGGTGATGGGAAGTGGAATGTCACATGTAAGAAACAGAGAGTGTCAGTGTGACTTGCACTGGGTGTGAGGAGGTATAATGTAGGGTTGGCAATAAGGTATAAAGGAGTATAAAAGCTACACACAAAGAAATTTATATTTTATTCTAGTGGCAGTTGGGAGTCACTAGAGTTTACTGAGTAAGGGAGTAACATGGTCAGATCTGTGCTTAAAGTTAATTGGTTTGGGGGCAGCTAGGTGGCACAGTGGACAGAGCACCGGCCCTGGAGTCAGGAGGACCTGAGTTCAAATCCAGCCTCAGACACATAACACTCACTAGCTGTATGACTCTGGGCAAGTCACTTAACCCCAATTGCCCTCACCAAAGAAAAATAAATAAATAAATACAATAAAGTTAATTGCTTTGGCAGCTGTTTGAAGGATAAACTGCAGAGGACAGAGACTTAAGGCACAGAAACCATTAAAAGGCCATTACAAGAGGCAGAGCAGAGTAAAGGCAAGGATTCACCTGAGCTTTCCCTCTAAATCCTCCAAATACCTTTAAAAAAATTACTCCACATAAACTCTAGAACAGCAGAACCCGCAAAAAGACAGTGTGAAACAAATTCCCAGCCCAAGACAACTTAGAAGGTTGGCAAGAAAGGTCAGTTACATCAGGGTGAGAGAGGAGTACAGTCCAGGACAGGCCACACCAGCAGGGCCTAGCAAACCAGGAGCAGAATTTAGGGCAACTGAATCACTGGCAGAAGTGGTGGTTTCTAGATCTCTCATCCCACAGATGCCAAAGACAATTTAGAATATCAGCAGGAAGGGGCTGCCGCACATGGATGAGAGTGGAGGGCAGCCCAGTGCAGGCTGCAGCAGCACAGCCCTGGCCCCAGCAAACCAGGAGCAGGTCTTGGGAGTGACTGAATCGGTAGCAGTGGCAGCAATAGTGGCACTGGCTGCTTCTGGAGCTCTCAGCCCACAGATGGTAAGGGGGTTGAACAACTGGTCAGAAGGAGATTACAGGGGTCTTTTTGATAGCACTGAGGTAGGACTCTGGTGCTTTGCCCATACTCTGATCTGGGTTACAGTTCTGGGCATCAATCTCAGGGTGAGAAAGAGCACTAGCACAGCAGAGCTTGCAGCCACAGTGGAGAGGAGACCCTTCTGACAGTTCTAGGGCAGAAAAGAATGTTTGTGGGTACACACAGATAAGAAAACAGTCTAGGAGAATAGGAAGCACCACTGTACCACCTTGCAAGAACTAAAAACATAGGTCTCTAGAAGTATCTCTGAAAACAGTTGCACAAAACCCCTGAAACTTGGGATGGTTCATCCTCCACCCTGGAAGCAGAGCCCTACTTTAACAAAGAGTTAAAAGTCAAGTAATAGGCAGGGAAATGAGTGAACAATAGAAAAAAATTCTGACTACAGAAAATTACTGTGGTGACAAGGAGGATCAAAACACACACTCAGAAGGTGATAAATTCAAAGGTCCTACATCCAAAGACTCCAAGAAAAATTAGAATCGGTCTCAAGTCATGGAAGGGCTCAAAAAGGACTTTGAAAATTAAGTAAGAGAGGTAGAGGAAAAACTGAAAACAGAAATGAGAGTGATGTAAGAAAATCATGAAAAATTAGTCAACAATTTGGTAAAGGAGATACAAAAAAAAATACTGAAGAAAATAACACTTTACAAAACAGACTAGTCCAAATGGTAAAAGAAGTCCAAAAAGCCAATGAGGATAAGAATGCCTTAAAAAACAGAACTGGTCAAATGGAAAAAGAGGTACAAAGGTTTACTGAAGAAAAGAGTTCCTTAAAATTAGAATGGAGCAAGTAGAAGCTAATGAGTTTAAGAGAAATCAAGAAACAATAAAACAAAACCAAAAGAATGAAAAAATGGAAGAAAATGTAAAATATCTCATTGGAAAAAACAACTTTAAAAGATCCAAAAAAGAGATCCAAGAGAGATAATTTTAAAATTATTGGACAACCTAAAAGCCAGGATAAGAGAAGGGGGTGGGGTGACAGAAAGGAGGGCAGATTGGGGAAGGAGGCAGTCAGAAACAAAACACTTGAGGAGGGACAGGGTGAAAGGAGAGAGATAGAATAGAATAAATGGGGAGATAGGATGGAGGGAAATACAGTTGGCAAAAGTAACTTTCAAAAAAATTTTGAAGCAAGTTTCTTTGATAAAGGCCTCATTTCTCAAACATAGAGAATTGGGTCAAATTTATAAAAATAAAAGCCATTCCTCAGCTGATAAATGATCAAAAGATATGACCAGTTTTCAGATGAAATAATCAAAGTTATCTATAGCCATACGAAAAAATAGTCTAACTCACCACTGATTAGAGAAATGCAAATTAAAATAATTATGAGGTACTACCTCATACCTATTAGATTGGCTAATAGGACAGAAAAGGTAAATGACAAATGTTGGAGAGGAAAATGAGACATTAATACACTGCTGGTGGAGTTGTAAACTGATTCAACCATTCTACAGAGCAATCTGAAACTAGGCTTAAAGAGTTATAAAAAGCATGCATACCCTTTGACTTAGTAAGACCACTACTAGGTCCATATCCCAGATGAGATTAAAAAAAAAGACCTGTATGTACAAAATTATTTATAGTAGCTCTCATTTCTGGGGGCAAAGAATTAGAAATTGAGGGGATGCCCACCAATTGGGGAATGGCTGAACAAGTTATGATATATGATTATGATGGAATGCTATTGTAGTA